TCTTCCAATGCAATTTCAATTTAGTTGTAACCCGAATAGCCATCTAGGAAATAATAAAATTCATGACCTGCAACTCTTTCTAGGATTTGATCCATGAAAGGTAAAGAAAAATGATCTTTTCTAGTCATTGAATTAAGTTTCTTATAGTCAATGCACATGCGCCAACCAGTAATAGTTCTAGTGGGAATTAACTCATTATTCTCATTTGTTATCCTAGTGACTCTAGACTTCTTGGGTACAACTTGGGTAGGACTTACCCATTTGCTGTCAGAAATAGGATAAATGATTTTATTTTCTAGAAGCTTAATGACTTTATTTTTCACTACTTCTTTCATATTAGGATTTAGCCTTCGTTGCATTTCTCTAGAGGGTTTAGCATTTTCCTTCAAATAAATTCTTTGTGTACAAATCAAAGGACTAATTCCTTTGATATCAACTATGGTCCATCCTAATGCATTTTTGTGCATTTTCAGAGTTTGTAATAACTTACCTTCTTGATGTGCATTAAGTTTGGAAGAGATTATTATCGGAAAAGTTTCATTTTCTCCCAAAAATGAGTATTTGAGATTGAATGGCAACAACTTCAAATCATACCACTACGAAGAGTAGTGACTGATTTGACTTGATCAATGTGTTGGCTTCCAGAACTACTTGCATTTGCATTGTACTGCCCCTTGGGATTTTGTTGTGGTTGAGATGGAAACTTACCTTTCTCTTGGAAATTGAGAGCAGATGTTAATTTTGCAAGAGTACCTTTAAAATCTGTCATGTTTTGAGCAAGTTGAGTATTGATTGTCTCTTGCTTTTCAATGAATGCATGCAATGTTTTCTCAAGATTTCTTCTAGGAGGTGGAGCATAAGGAGGTGCATATCCATGAGAATTTTGGAAATTGTGGTGTGCTTGAAATGGTGGTTGTGAAGTTTGTGCATTATTGTTCTCACTCTTCCAACTAAAATTTGGGTGATTTCTCCAACCAGGGTTGTATGTTTGTGAGTATGGGTTGTGGTTGGCCCTTTGAAAACTGTTTAAAGCATGGGCTTGTTTATGAAGACATTCCTTAAAAGAAGGCAAGGTTGGACAATTATTGGTTGAGTGTTCATTTGTTTCAGATATTTGACACACAATGTTTTCAACAGATTTTAATTGACCACTCTTTTTCAATTCTAGTGCCTCAACTTTTCTAGCTAAAGATGCAAAGTTGGTTTAGAGGTCATGATCTTCCCTAAGATTGTACATACCTCCACTAGATGTATGAGGTTTAGTTTTACTCAGTGCCTTATAAGTACCCGTGGTGTCCCAATTTTGAGCATTTTCAGCTACCAATCTCCATGTTTCAAAACCATGATGAGGGCAAGTACTAAGCAAGTCTCGATACCTATCCCAACATTGGTAAAATGTTTCTCCTGGTTTTTGAGTGAAAGTGGTGATTTGTCTTTTGAAAGAGTTTGTTCTATGGGATGGGAAAAACTTCTTTAAAAACTGTTGTTGCATTTCATCCTAAGCACAAATGGATCCTGGTCTTAAATTTTGTAGCCATGTTTTAGCTTTATCTTTTAATGAAAAAGGAAAAAGCTTTAATCTGATGGTGTTTATGCTACAATTTAAATTATTATATGTATTGCAGACCTCCTCAAATTCCCTTAAATGCAAGTATGGATTTTCCATTTCTAAGCCATGAAAAGAAGGTAAAAGTTGAATAATGTCTGGCTTAAAATTCAAATGAGATGCATCGGGAGGAAAAACTATGCATGATGGTACACTTGTTCTTGTGGGATTCATGTGGTCTCTAAGTGTTCTAGCACGGTTATTCTCATTATTTTCATTATGAAGTGATTGATTATCTTCTTCGGCCATATTTTCTGAAAATGATGAGGATACCCTACAAAGTCTACCACTTGATGTACGTGACCACACTCTCATGCACGTGTAGGAATAAAAAAAAGAAGAAGAAAGCAAAAGAAGGAGGAAGAAAACAAAATAAAAAGAAACAAAGTTATATACAAGAAAAGTGAAAAGAGAAAATAAAATAAATACTATAATTTATACAAGAACTTACCTCCCCGGCAACGGCGCCAAAAACTTGACACGACTAAAAGATTGATGTCTTCTCCCAAGTGCAGGAGTGTCGAAGTAATAAATAACCCGGCAAGACCGGGGTCGAACCACAGGGAGGTTAATTGTACAAATTATAAACAACAATTATAAAACAACAATAACAACAACAGTAATAATAATAATAATAATAATAATAATAATA